AGAGACAGCCGAGCCAGCCGGCCGGGACCATGGAGCCCTTGTCTCTGCAGGACTTCGCGCGCTGCCTGGACCCCGCCTCCCTGCCACGCGTGCTGCGGGTCTACTCCGGAGTCTACTCCGAGGGTGAGCGGGCGCAGCCTCCCGTGTGGACCCGGCCTTGGGACCTGGAGCCTTGGAGTCCAGGCCGCGGCCAGCCCCTGGGGACCTCAGCTTTTGTGTCCGTGCGCTGGGGCCCAGCGCCCCAGGAAGGCGGGCCCTGCTGGGGCTTGATTCCCTCCTCCCCACTTTTCTCTCCTTTTCTTTTCTTTCCTCGCCCCCTCCTCCCTCCCCTCCCCTCCTCTCCCCTCTCTTCTGTTCTTTTCTTTTCTCTTCTCTCCTTTTCTTCCCCACCGCATCCTTCCCTCCTTGGCCCTCTGCTAGACCAGGCGGTACTTGATCTGGCCAGATCTTCACTTCTCAGCGTAAAAGGCTCGTCCTCTCGGAGCCTGCTCCTTGCTTCCCCAGTCGCAGCAGAGAGGATTACACCGCAGGGGCGCTGTCCCTAGTTAGAGCAAGAGCAGGGGGCTGAGAGGCTGTGGGAGGGAGGGAGGGGACCAGCGCTGCGGATGCCTCTGGCTCCTGCCTGACAGCTCGCCCCAGCCCATCCCTTCTCCCGGAGGGAGGACACTTGCGGTGCCACAGCAGCTTCCAGCAAAATGTCCCGAGGGCCCGAGGTGGATCCTAGACCAAGGCTGAGACACTTGGAGGGCCACAGAGGGGCCTCCGCTCACAATGTGTCTCTCCAGGTCCACTTGGGATTTTCATGGATCTGGCCTCCGATTCTAACTCTGGGATCTTCCTGCAGCAGATGCCTGTGACCTGTATGTTCTCCTCCCAGCCCAGGACCAAGCCCCTCTGTCCTCTCGGAATCCCTTGCCTGCCAGTGTCCCAATACCTGGTTCTTCATTCTGCCTGACCTGGGGTGGGGGCAGGTGGCAGACGTTAGGGAGATGTGAAGAACCTGACAGCTGGGGATGTGCAGGTGGGGTGAGTGTGGAGGAGGACAGGTGGCCATAGCAGTAGGGGCAGGCACGGGGCACCCCGAGGGGGTTGTCACCTGCTCAGGAGCACCAGTTTTAGAGGCAAACACCCTGGGCTTGACCCTCAGTTCTGCCTCCTGTTATTTGATCATCTTGAGCAACTCACTCAACCTCTCTGAGGCTGTGTCAGTTTTAAGAAACAGAAACTGCGAAGTGTCATCATTTAGGAAAGAAAAATTGTCTGTCCCCCAAGGGCACTCATGGGTAGTAAAGGCAACCAGGCATCTGCAGCATTTAGCACTGAGCTATCTATATCTATCTATATCTATATCTATATCTATATCTATATCTATATCTATATCTATATCTATATCTATATCTATCTACAGCTGTGGCACTTGCCTAACAGAAGGTCCACATCCTGTGTTGTAGTTAGAACTGTTCTTTATGAGATCTGTGCAATTTCCTGGAGTAAAGTGAGGTTTTCATCAGCTTCTCAGGACTAACGTGAGAGGCCCTAGAGAAGCTACCCTGTGTGGACAGGGGCAGTCAGATGAGCTCAAGGCAGGCTGCCCACAGTTTCCTGTCCTCCTTCAGCTGGATGGGGATCCTGTGTGGTCTGTGGTGAGAGATCTTTATTGAGCACCTACTATCTAAACCAGGAAAATGGGCTGCTGAGCCAGAGGTGGCATCCAGGGCCTTGCCCACTGGGCAGCACCCTGTCAGGGTGCTCTGTTCCTGCATGTGCTTCCTTTAAAAGTGACTCATCTGAAGGAGAAAGCAAAAGGCTTTAGGAGGGCTGGTCCCCACATGGCTCTGTGTAACTTGCAGGGAGCCACTGACCCTCCCTGAGCATAATTTCATAGCTATGTAGTAAAGGAGTTGAGTTCACTGTTCTTTAGGGGTTCTAGGATTTAACAGAGGCTGAGCCCCAGGCTGGCTGCAGGGTGCAGAGGTGGACCAGCCCTACCTGTGAGGAAAAAGATGGAGAAGTGCTCCACAGGAGATATATTCAGAGTAGAGCTTGTTGGGAACAGGGCACAGGTCCCTTGGTGCCTGGACCTTGCCAAATGGGGGAACTGGGTCCATGTCCCCACAGGCTCCATCTACGAGATCTGTGGGAATGAGTGCTGCCTGTCCACAGGAGACCTGATGAAGGTCACCCAAGTTTGCCTGCAGAAGGTGGTCTGTGTGAACCCAGGCACAGGCCAGACACTGGAGCTGCCCCCCAACTTCCAGGGTAAGGAAGCCCCCCTGCCTCCCATGCCTGGCAACCTCCAGGAAGCCTGCAGGAACGCTTGGAGGGCTTGCTGATCCCAGCATCCACTTCTACCTTTCGAGCTTTGCAGCCTCGAGGCCAGGGATGTCCTGAGAGTGGTCTGACAGATACCCTGAGCCTGGTGAGGTTGCACCCTCTTCATGTTGGTCTCTCTAGTCACATCCACTTGTGTTCCCGGCCTCTGTCCAGAGCCTGTCTCTGTGTGCGCTCACACATTCACTCACCTGACATCTGCTGACATGTGTGATGGTCCTATGGAGTCTGGGGCAATGGGGCTCAGGATGGGCCAGGCATGTTAGGTGACAGTGAGCGGAGATCAAGTAAGCACTTCAAAAGTGCTCTAGGAGGAGCAGCCTGTGGGTAGCAGGGGCCAGCCCGCCTGGGGCTGTGTGGTGCTGACATAGTTTGGTGTCTATTTTGAAGGACTGAGCAGCCATCGAGGTTTTAAAAGACACAAGTGAGTTCTACTTTGTATTTTGAAGTTTTTGTTTTTCTTCTGAAATAATTTCTCATTTACAGAAGACTTGCTAGAACTCCTGGACACCCAGCCTCCTGATTCACCAACTGTTAAACCTTCATTACATTTGCCTTCTCTGCCCAGCTTCTCTGTACACACACACACACACACACACACACACACACACCCCAGGTGTGAAAGAAACACACAATAAATATTTCACTTGTAACAAACTGATTACAGTAAGGCTCATTGCCATTAATCCCCCTCAAAATACTCCTCCCAGAGCTGGGGATTTAGCTCAGTGGCACTGCACCTGCCTTTTAAGCACAAGGTCGTGAGTTTGATCCCCAGTACCAAGAACCAACAAACAAAACACTCCTTTCTCTAGACACATTTCTCCCATCATGCTTGCCACTTTCTGAAGCAGCACTGAGAGTCTTATTGGGAGAGGTTCTTTATGGGGTGTGGTCAGACACAGTGAACACTGCTACCCAGGGCCATCCAACAGAAAGGCAGAGTCATAAAACACTGCAGTGTCTGCATCTGCCGTATCCTGTGACTGCAGATCCTCTCCAACATCAAAGTGACCACGAGTGATAAATGTGTGAACTGATTCAGGACATTGAGGTAGCCATGGATGGTACGACCCTCATGAGAGAGCACTGCCAGAACGGCTTCGGAAAGCACAGGAATGATGAGATAAGTGTATTTATCGCAAGTAGTAATATCCTGAAGGAAATCAATAGTGATGTATTTTAATACATTTTTAAAAATTAAATATTCACCCTTTTGGACCACACCCCCATCCAGCACACACCTTTTTTCTGAGCCAGGCATGGTGGCACTTACCTGTAATCCTAGCACTTCGGAGGCTGAGGAGGCAGGAAGATCACAAGTACGAGCGACTTCAAGGCCAGCCTAGACTACACATAGTGAGACTCTGTCTCAAAAAACCAAAAACCAAACTCCAAAATATCAAACAAATTCAGAAAACAGTTTTGATGGCGTACTATTGTCTAACTCACAGTCTATATCCAGATCTTATCAACTACCCCAATACTGTCCTTTACGGCAGGGTTTTCCTTGATCATGAGTCCAACACCAAATTCAGGTCTCCTTCTTTAGTTTCCTTCAGGCTAGAATATTTCTTCAGTCTTTCTTTGTCTTGATATGGACAGTTTTGAAGAATCTAGACCAACCCTTCTTTTGCAGTGCTAGGGATGGAACCCAGTGCCTCTCACGTGCTCAGCGTGTGCCACACCACTGAGCCACATCCTGTCGTCAGACCAGTGCTCCTGGAGCCCGTTCCCAGTCCAGGCTTTTTGATGGTTCTCTGACCAGACTCAGGTGGTGGGTAGGGGAAGGAAACCAGTGCATCCGGAAGCGGTGTTCAGGCCAGTGCAGAGACAGGAGAACGGCTGTGTGGGGAGCAGCGGGGCAGTGCCGGCTGACAGAATGAGGGGGCCGGAGGGCAGCTGACCATAGCTTCTGGGGTTCTAGCTTGGGAGAGAGGGATGGAGGGGGCGGGTTCTGGGTATGTGGGACTGGAGTCATGGCAAGATGGCTGCAGGAATGAGAAGCTGGCCATTGGAGGCAGGTAGGGCCAAGTGGGACGGTGTGAGAGATTCCTGTGTGTCCCATGGGGGCTGGGTCTCTGTTCTGTCCTGTGTCTCTGGTGTTACCACTCCTGCCTTTCACTGTCCATTTGTACCCTGTCCCTCTGCCTGTGGACTCTGGTTGGGGGCCAGTCTGTGCCCAACCTGACTGCCACTCTCTGCTGAACCTCACAGGCTACTTCAGCCCCCTCTCCACCCCAAAGAGCTACAGGACCCTGCAGGAGCTGGTCTCTGCCAAAACTCCGAGCACCACGCTGCTGCCCTTTTGCTTCATGTCTACTCGGAGCATTGTCACAGAGGCTGGGGTGGTGCCCAAAGAGAAGCCCCTCACGCTCGAGGCCATGGAAGTGTACCGCGGGACCCGCTGTGCGCGCTGTAACCTGGGTTCCCAGGGCCTGCAGGTCATCCTGCACCTGCCCCTGACCCTGGAGGGGCCCTTCTGGATATGGGAGCCTGGAGTCCCCCAAACCCTGCTCCAGGTCCTGCAAGACCCAGCCCTGAAGGACCTCCTGCTCACCTGCCCCGTCCTCCCGTGGCACTCTGTGGTCCTGAGGCCGGAATATGAGATCCAAGCCATCATGCACAGTGAGTGCCTGACATCGGGGAGGGGCTGAGGGCTGGAGCTGCTCCTGTGGGAGACATCCCGCTCTGTGGGTAGTAGGGATTATAGGTGGCTTGCCCAGTTTTTGCAGTGTGACAGGGACTTCACACTGAGTGACATCCCAGCCTTTTCTCATTTTTTATTTTGAGACAGGGTCTTCCAAAGTGGCTGAGTTTCCTAGGCTGCACTCAAATTTGTAATCCTCTTGTCTCAGCCTCCCAGAGTGCTGCAATTACAGGCGTCCTTGCCACACCTATATTCTTTTGAAGGAATGTGGGGACCTTTCTGAAGTCCAAGCTCCCAGATTCCAGCTCAGAGCCAGGTTTGGCAGTGGCTGTTAATGAGAGAACACACTCGGGCTGGCTGTGTTAACTCCTTTCTATACATCTGTGCTCTGGAGCTTAGACCCAAGGTTTGGGCAGATGCAAGACGCAGTTTTTCACTGCCACATGAGGTGTGGGGCAGAGAATCCACCGTGGCTTGGTGTGTGACCTCCCATCCATCCTGGCGACCCAGAGCTTTGGCAGGTCGGCTGTGCATATCAGGGAGCAGGGCGAGAGGCCGGCCATGATGGAGGCAGTGCTGACAGAGACCGCCTCAGTCTGTGGTTCTTTCAGGAACTACAGCGGTGATACTGTAGTTCTACTGTCACTACTGCATTCATTAGCTGGGACACTGCTACAGACGGACACTTCCCCTTGTCTACTCTGTGGTAACAGTTGATGCAGGATATTCTGTTTGTAAGAGTCCTCAGATACCTGTTCTTTAAATTTTTAAAAAATTAGAATAGGGCTGGAGATTTAGCTCAGTGGTTCCGCTGCCTGCCTTACAAGCGCAAGGTCCTGAGTTCGATCCCCAGTACCAAAATAAGTAAATAAAATTAGTATCTATTTGTGATATATAATGATGACATTCATCTTAGGGAGTCGGTACGTACACATACTGCATCTTAATTTTTATTCCCCCTTCCCCACCCTCTGCTCCCCCTTTCTCACCTTCTCCAGATCCCCCTCCCACCTCGAGTCCACTTCCCTGTTATCTACCGTTTCTCTTTTATTTTGCTTTTTAAATTATTTATATTTTGGGTTTCTCATATTAAAGAAACTATGTGATGTTTCACCTTTTGTGTCTGACTTATTTCACTTAGCATTATGATCAAAACCAATCCATTTTTCTACAAACGATTCAAATTTTTCCTTCTTTGTGGCTGAGTAGTATTCCCTTGCCCAGAAACCCATTCTACTTCACTCAGACTTAGCCTCTGACCTACCAGCCCTGGCTGGATTCTGCCTGTTTCTCCATCCCTGTTCTGCACACTGCCACTAGCCTGTCCTGAGGAGAAAGAAGCAACCTATTCATCGTTTACCAGCTTTTAAAATAGTGAGTTGGCACTGGGTATGTATGTCCACGCCTGTAATCCCAGCACTCAGGTGCCTGAGACAGGAGGATCATGAGTTGAAGGCCAGCCTGACCTACGTGATAAGAACCTGTTTAAAAAAAATGGCTTTTTAGCATCCTCCAGGTGACAATGTAGAATCTTTTTGAAATCATTTTGAATTCACACAAAATGTCTGCAGTGTGCTTGAACCCACTGATGTGATTCTTGATATTCTTTTTTTTTTTTTTTTTGGTACCAGGGATCAAACTTGGATCCTTGTGCTTGCAAGGCAGGTGGTGGAACCGCTGAGCCAAATCTCTGGCCCCACTGATGTTATTCTTATTGTTGCTCAGATTATCTCAGCTTTGGCCAGCGGGAGCCTCTTCAGGCGAGTTCCTGAATCCTCTTGACAGGCCTGTGTGGGGTGAGCAGGCGTCCCTGACCTCTGTGCAACATGTTCTAGGTTCCTCCTGAACATTTCCTCCCTAGGAACTGAAGTTAGCTCTTTCCAACGGTGCCGCTCTGTGGAAAGAGGCAGCAGGAGACCACAGCATCTGTGAAGTTGGGGCTTCCTGGATCTTTCAACTGTTTTTAAGAATAACCAGAAAAATAGCACGGACTTCCATTCTCTCAGCTTCAACCAGTTATCTCTGGCACTGAGCAAAATTCCCAACTATGTGGTCTGAGGGAGGTCGCCACTCCTGGAAGACGGTGCTGTTATTTGTGAAATGAGGAGAGTTCCCTGACTTGCCTGCATACGGTGTAGCACAAACCAAAGTGTAGCTACTTTTCCTCACAGTATCTTTTTTTGAATGGTACTGGGGTTTGAACTGAGGGAGTTCTCATAGAGCTACATCTCCAGCCCTTTTTATTTATTTATTTTTAATTTTGAGAGAGTCTCACTAAGTCACCGAGTTACCAGGCTGGGGTGCAACTTGTGATCCTCCTGCCTCAGCCTTATCGAGTGTTAGAATTACGGGCATGTGCCGTCATGCTTGGCTTCCTAATAGTCTTTTAGGGCCACGAGTTGAGCTTTAATCAATGCCCAGAGAGGAAGGAGCCAAGATGATTTAGTCAGTGTTTTTCTTGATTTTGTTCTGTTTGCTTGTTTGTTTTTTGGTACCAGGGATCGAACTTGGGACCTTGCGCTTGAGAGGCAGATGGTGGCACCACTTAGCTGAATCCCCGTCCCTGATTTAGTTTTACCTATTTAAACCCAGACAGGATTTTTAAAACCAGTTCATGAAATTACATTTAAAATTAAATTTAAAATTTTAAAGTGATGGAACTGATTGAATATTTGGTGGTATATAGGAGTTATTGAATAATTATGAACACAGCAATGACATCGTGATTATTCCTTTTTTTTAAATTTAATTATCCTCTCTTACAAATTGAAATAGTTCCCCATGGCATGGTGTGATCGTTCTGCTTTAGAATTCTCCAGGGGAGGGGTGAGCTGGGCCTGCAGTTGGAAGCAGATGGGCCATGAGTTAAACTGAAGCTGGGTGATGGATGCATGATGGATGCTATTTTATGAATATTTAAAAATAATTTTTAGCTGAGCATGGTGGCACATGCCTGTAATTCCAGCACTCAGAAGGCTGAGGCAGGAGGATCACTGTGAGTTCAAGGCCAGCCTGAACTACATAGCAAAAACTATATGGGTAAAGAATCTAGCACAGTAGGAAAATATTAGCAGAAAAATGAAAACAGGAAAGAGCTGAGCATTGTGGCACTTGTCACAGCCTGTGGGAGGCTGAGGCAGGAGGATGGCAGGTTCAATAAGAAAAAAAAAAAAAAAAACAAAAAAAAAAAAAAAAAAAAAAAAAAAAAAAAAAAAGTTTTTAAAGTGCTGGGAATGAAGCTCAGTGTGAAGGCCCTGAGTTCAATCCCTAGTGCTGCGAACCAAATCAAACAAACTCAAAAAGCAACCAGCCAAACAAAAGCAGGAAAGAGGCCAGCCTGCTCGGACCAATGCTCTCTGCCTGGGGTGGGGGGCCCACCCCTGGTGCAGCGCATGATGCACCCCTGAGCCGATCCCTCCCCCAACAGTGCGCAAGTCCGTGGTCAGGATCCCCTCCACTCTGGAGGTGGAAGTACAAGATGTCACCGCCACCTCCCAGCATGTCCACTTCATCAAACCGCTGCTGCTGAGCGAGGTCTTGGCCCGGGAAGGCCCCTTCCCCTTGCCCACGGAGATCCTGGAAGTTCCGGAGGGCGCCCCCATCTTCCTCAGCCCGTGGGTGGGCTCGCTACGGAAGGGCCAGAGCCTCTGCATCTACGGCCTGGCCTCGCCGCCCTGGCGGGTCCTGGCTTCCAGCAAGGGCCAGAAGGCGCCCCGACACTTCGTGGTCTCCGGGGCCTACCAGGGCAGGCTGCGGAGGCGGCCCCGGGAGTTTCCCACAGCCTATGACGTCCTGGGTGCGCTGCAGCCCGGCCGGCCCCTCCGGGTGGTGGTGACGAAGGACTGTGAGGCTGGGGACGAGAGCCCTGCGCTGGCTTCCGTGGCTGTGGGCGACCGGCTGGAGGTGTTGGGGTCCGCCCAGGTCCTCGGGACCCAAGGCCAGGACATAGATGTCTTGATGTGCATGCGGCTGAGCGAGGAGGCTGCGGAGGAGGAACAGGAGGCAGTGGAGGACAAGGGCCAAGAGCAGGTTCTGCTGCCCCTCTACCTGCCCTGCGGCTTCGTGGAGGAGATGAGCGATGCCCGGCGCTACAGCCTAGCAGATCTCACTCACCGGTTGCCACTGCCCTGTGAGGTCAAGGTAGTGACCAAGGACACTGGCCACCCTGCCGACCCTCTGGTTTCCTTCCCGGGCCTGCGGCTGGAAGAAAAGATCACAGAACCCTTCCTGGTGGTGGGCCTGGATGCCCATCCGGAGAGGTGCTTCGAGATCCCTCCCCGGTGGCTGGACTTGACTGTGGTGGAGCTGGAGGGGCAGCCGGACCACCTAGCCGGGCCTCTCCCGGTGGCCACCGTGGAGGAGCTGTCTGAAACCTTCTACTACAGTCTCCGGAAGTTACCAGCCAGTGAGAGCCAGGCACCCCCACCCAGGCCCCCGAAAAGCCAGGACCAGAGGGAGCAGAGGAGACAGAGCTGCAAGGAGGGCAAAGCCAAGGTATGGACCTAAGTAAAGAGGGCAGGGGAGGGCCACCTGTTGGGCTCCTGGTGGCTCCTTGTTATGTTTCTTTTAGAATTCTGCAGAACTTGCAGTTTATGAAGTTCCACTTTGCATGTGTTATTTTCATTCCATCCTCAAGCTGGTAGAATTATCCTTATAGGATTGAGATAAGAACTAAGGTCCTGAGAATCATCCAAGGTCCCAAATTAGTGAGAGGCCTGAACTTGAGCATAAACATCCCAGACTCCATTCCAGATTCCAAGTTCATGGAACCTTTCCTCTCTCTGCAGCCCTGCTTTTATCCCCGAGTTCCGTGTGTGTGTGTGTGTGTGTGTGTGTTCACAAGGTCCCAAATTAGTGGGAGGCCCGAACTTGAGCATAAACATCCCAGACTCCATTCCAGATTCCAAGTTCATGGAACCTTTCCTCTCTCTGCAGCCCTGCTTTTATCCCCGAGTTCCGTGTGTGTGTGTGTGTGTGTGTGTGTGTGTGTGTGTGTGTTTGTGTGTGTGTGTGGCGATACTGAGAACTGAACCCAGGGCCTGCACACTGAGCTACATCCCCAACCCCCACCCTCTTTTATTTTTTTATTTTGAGAAAGGAGCTCACTAAGCTGCCCAGGCTGGGCTTGAACTTGTGATCCTCCTGCCTCAGCACCTACACCATCGTAATCAACTCTTGCCCACGGCTGGTCACTGCTAGGCCTTGGCTTCGTGTGTCGAAACCTTCGTGGCTCCACATGGTGTCAGGGTCCTGTATGAGTTGGCTCCAGGCTGGCTTTCCTGGGTCACCACCACTCTGCAGTCCCCACTCTGGCCACACAGGAGCTCCTGAAGGTCCCTCGGGTCCTCGCGACTCTGGTCTGGCTCCTTGCACACACGGGGCCTCTGCGGAGCTGTCCTCTGTCCGTCCTCCCTCGCCCAAGCACATGGTTTTCAGTTAGTTGTACTCAGTCTCTTTCTGACTAGGAAGAGCTGGGTGAGAAAAGACCCCACCTCCTTCGAGGCCAGTGAGCTCCACTGAACTGAGCCAAAAGGAATCGCAGAGGTGGGAACAGCCGGGCAGGGTCAGAAAGACCACGTTTACATGCTTGTCACCATCTGTCACCTGTGCACCGTGAGGTAGCCTCACTAACGTGCTGCTGCATCTCCTGCTTCCTACCAGGTGCTTCCTCCTCAGCAGGTAGCTTTTGTGCACCGTCCCAGCTCCTCTCCCTGTGTCCTCGAGGTAGGCATCAGGCACTGGTATTCTCTGTTTTTCAGTTGAGAAAACAGGCAGAGAGAGGCAAAGTTCACCTGTGCTCACACAGCGAGGACGTGGAAGGTCCAGGCCTTGAAATCTGACCACGGAGCCTGTGCTCTGCTGAGAATGGGTGTGCTGGATAGATAAGCTTCATAGACTATCACAGGCACACTGTTTGGTGACCTTGGGAGACTCATATTTAGCACCATGTAGGGAGCAGTATGGGAACAGAGTAAAAAAGGTGACTCCTGAGCAGTTCCAGCTCATCTCTGTGGAACGTAGAAGGGACAGTCACTTTCTGACCGGCTGGGCCCTGAAACAGGCCTGTAACAGTGCAGAAAAGAACGCAGCAGCATAACGAACCTAGAATCCCCAGTCCCAGCCTTGGCTGCAGACAGAGGGACTTTGGGTCCAGTCATTGCTGATGTCCTAAACAGCACCTTTTTCCGCTCTGGGCATTGATTCTCCATGCTGACCGGGGCAGTGGCCTCTTTTGCTCCCTAAAACATGGTGTGCTGGAGACCACTGGCCTTAGGGGTCCCAAATCTTAGCCCACCTATGGATCTCCCAGGTGAGGACTGGGTGTGTGTGACAAGGTTCACTCTCTTCCTTCATACATTGGAAATCGGAACTAAAACCACTCCTCAGAAGGTCATTTAAGGATTAAGTGAACAGACATGCATGGCATGTTGTAAGAGTTCCAGAAACTTCTTCCTCCTCCTGGGAGCCCTAGCTCTCTCTCTTCTCTTTCTTTCTTTCAAATCTTTGTTTTGTGTGTGTGTGTGTGTGTTGTTTTGCTTTTGGTTGTTTATTTGTTTTTGTTTTTCTTTGAACAGGGTCTTGCTATGTAGTTCAGGCAGGCCTTTAATTCACTAAGCAGCCCAGGCCGGCCTTGAACTCATAGTGACTGCTTTCTTGAGGTGTCTCCACTTTGCTCTTTCACCACTTCAGCAATTCCCAGGCCCCTAAATGGAGAACCCAGGGACACCCCTCTCCAGCCCTCAACCCGATCTGTACTCCCCACTCTGACCTTTTTCTCTCCTGCCAAGGAATATTTCATGTGATTGTAGCAAAACTTCCCGGGGTCCTGAGAAGCCCTACCCTGAAAAGGAAACAGAAGGGAAGCTGAGGAGGTGACACTGTAGCTAAATCATGCTTCATGGACTCTGCTGCTGTTTCCTGGGACCTTGTTGATTTCTGCTTTTTCTCCCAGTCTTCTCGAGACTTAGGACTGCAGTCCCCGCTGCTGCCCAAACCCAAGGCAAAGACTTTGGCAGAGGCCTCCAAGAACGTATACAGCAAGATTTCTCCCCAGAGGAAGGGCCTCTGGGCCATGAAACCCCAAACACAAGACCCAGGTGAGTCCCTTCAACCCTGTCAGCCCTGTCCTTGCTTCTCTCCCTGCTCCTGCTGCCTGCCTGTCCCTCTGCCTCCTGCCCGAGACCCTTTTGAGGTCTCAGTTTGAAGGACAGGCTGAACAGGCTGGGTCAGATAGAAAGGGCGCTAGTCTCTCTCCCATGGGCTCTAGAGCCCTCGCAAAGAAATGAGTTCAATCCCCAACACCCCGCCCTCTCCACGGCATCCAGGGCACTGAAAGGGTTACAGTGTTCAGAGAGAACAAATTGTGGTTTCTAGGCTGCAAAGACTTTAGAGCATCCAGGCCAACTCCTTCCTTGTTACAGGTGAGGAAACTAAAGAGGGGAAGGAACTTGCCTAATGCCAGGGAGTCTCACTGACTGGACTTTTCTTTCCTTTTGCAGTGCTGGGGATTAAACCCAGGGCCCCATTCGCGGTAGGCAGGCACCCTACCAATGTGCCACATTCCCAGCCTGTCCTGGACCCTTACGCAGATATGGATGAACATGACTATGAGGAAGTACTTGAGTGTTTCCAGAAAACTATCTAGGTACTAGGGGAGCCATGCTTCCAAACCGCTGCTTCTCTGGGATTCGGGATACCAGACAACCCTTCTGAGCCTCTAGAAGGCCAGGGATGAATCACAGAAATCAGACTCCGACGTGGAGAGGAACTGAAATGGGGTGGACACTGCGCTGACTTCCTGTGGGTTCTAGGTTCCCACTACTGGGTGGGGGGCTGGGATGTTGGGGCACAGCCTCTTGCATGTGACTCCCTCAGCTTCAGAGCCTTGGTATCCAGAGGAGCATGCTGGGTTCTGCTCAGTCTCGCATCCCCACTGGTGCCCCGGTGATGGACGCAGAGAAGGCAGAGGCCACCAACCCCAGTGCCAGCTGTAGAGGAGACTTGATCCTGATCACAGTGCTGAGAGCCCTTTATGTGTTTGCCACCCTCTTGGGCTTCTCTCCTGCTCCTGCCTTCCTGGCTCTAAGCACTTGGGAGACCAGGGCTGTCTCATCCCATCTCAGCACATGAACATGATTAGCCCTTAGTAAATGGAACTTGCACAAATGAATGGGGAATTTGGCTTCAAGAGCAGAATCTCAGGGCCTCAAAAGCTGATGCTGAAACTCAGGGAGCCAATTTACAAAGAACCTTACAGAGACTCAAAGCTGCAGAAACCAGCAGGTTTCCTTGAGTGGTGCTAAGATATTGATAAAACCATGAGTGGCTATCCAAGAGTGCTTTTTTTCTAAAGCAGTGGAATAAAGATGATGTCTGAGCTTCTGTATGAATATCATTTAAGTTCACTGAGGCAGGAAGATCATAAGTTCAAGGCCAACCTGTTTCAAAATAAAAAGGGCCAGGCCGGGGGTTTAGCTCAGTGGTGCCACCCCCTGCCTCAGAAGCTCAAGGTCCTGAATTCCATCCCCCATACCAAAAAAAAAAGTTGTTGATCCACAATCAAAGTAAAAAGGTCTGGGGATGCAGCTCAGTGGTAGAACTCTCCCTTCAATCCCCAGTACAGCAAACACAAACCTACCTCACAAGACTGACTTGAGGATCAAATGAGATCTTTATAAAGCATGTAGCAGTGCCTGGCACGAGGCCAAGGTCATAGAGCTGTGTCTGTCTCCAAAGCCTATCGGTATCCCGCACCTGTCCGCTGTCTCCTAGTCATGGAACTTGTGTCATGTTTACAATACGCCCTACACCTAAACTGAAGAGAGGGTGCACTGGTTGGAGAGCCCCACTGTCCAGTGCAGGAGAGAGAAGGAAAAATGGAAACCTTTGTCCTTATAAAGATGAACTCAACTTCCAAGGTCAGGCTAGACCTGCCCCACTTCGGTTTGTGAGCTGATGCCACATTGACTGTAGCACAAGGTCAGTAGCAAAGATGGGAGAGAGCCAAATGAAACGAGAAGTCCCCTGTGGAGGTGAGAGCCAAAAGAGGTCAGATCTCCGGCTCCTGGATTCCAGGCACTGTGTCTACGTGGGACCCCTTCCCCTGCTGCTCTCTGGCCGCCTGGACCCACTGTGCTTCCCACTGTCCAGGCCTCCGTGCCCCTCCCACGTGCCGCTCTCGGGGGTTCTCCTGGCTGGCGCTGGTTCTCCAGGCTGCAGGCCCAGGACCCCTCACTGACACTGCACCCTCATCGGCCCATCAGTTCCCACGTCCTCCCCTAGAGAAATCAATCTGCACTGCACAGGAAGACCCTGAGGAAGATGGTACCTCGAGGGGGAAGCAGTCAGAACCAGAAGGGTAGAGAGTTCCTCTTCGGTGCAGAGCCCCTACGGGGAAAATGCATTTTCACTTCCACACTCGCCTTCAGTCTTGACACAAGGTTGAGCAAGTAACAAAGAACAAAAAGAGGGCAGAGGTCCCCACAGCATGGGCTGAGGAACCAAATGCTGCAGCGTGAAGAACGGTTTCTCAGTAGCAAAAGCTGGGCTTAAAAAAGAAAACATATTTGAAAACCACAGCCAGAGGCAGATACTCAGGGTGTCTTTGTTTTCTTTACCCCTGGAATAAGCGCCTGGGTGTTGGGGAGGTTGTCTTAGTGGGGCTGACGGTTCCTCCGGGGCTCCTGAGGGGCCCACCTCTTGGAGTACACAGGATGATCCACTGAGAATAGAAGATAAGGATTACTACTTCCTTCCATATTCATTTTAATATATTTTTATTTCTATTTTTAAAATCTGAATCGAGCAGTTTATTTAATATTGTTCATACTCCCCGCCCCCGGTGGTATGCAGTGCCACTGAGTTACATCCCCAGCCCTTTTACGTCTATTTTTTAATGTTTTCTAATGTGACATATTAATAGAACATATGTGAATAGCTGCTAAACAAGTGGGGAGTGGTAGCACAGGCCTGTAAGCCTGGCACTCACAGGAGGCTGAGGCAGGAGGATTGCCTTGAGTTTGAGGCCAGCCTAGGCTACATAGTTCAAGGCCAGCCTGAACTACAATATTAAGACCCTGACTCAAGGGGAAAAAAAAAAAAAAGTTGCTGTACAAATGAATATAAATTGGGGATGTGTCATGATTTATGTTGAGATATCCCCCAGATCTTCATGCCCTCACAGGAGGGGCTTTTAGGAGGTAAGGCCTTGGGGGGAGAGGTGGGTCACGGTGGGTGTGGCCTGGAACGGTATCCAGCCCTCCTCCTGCCTCCGGCTTGCTCTTCCTGCCTGCCTGTTTCTCCTCTGCCGTGTCACCCAGCCTTGGAGCCAGCCAACTATGGACTGAAACCTATAAACTCTTGAGCTTGGGCAGAGGATTTAGCTCAGTGGTTCCACCACCTTCCTTGCAAGCACAAGGACCCAAATTTGATCACCAGTACCAAAAACAAACAAACAAAAAACCCTGTAAGCTAAATGAACATTTCCTCCTGTGACTTGTAGGTGTTTCACAGACTGGACTTGAACTATCCCTCCATCTCAGCCACCCAGGGTGCTAGGGTTACAAGGGTGTGCTGTCATACTTGTTCAACTGCATTTAAAGGAACCCATTAATCCACATTAAACAGTAATTCCTACCAGCATTTCTCTGCGTAACCCCAGTGAAGTACTATTTCTCAAGGAGCTTCAGTTCCCACCTAAAGACATAAGAGGATTTCCCTGAGAAAAGGCTGGGCCCTTGCTGTGTTGTGCTGGGTACGTTTCTAAGAACTTGGGTCACACTGCTGTTCCCAGTGTCTCAGAACACCATACACTGGACATAAACAGGTGACCACAAATGCCCAGATGTAAGTTCTTCCCATCTGCACACAGCAGCTGTATGAAGGTGGGAGATGTCTTGCTGAGTGGTCTGGCTGGCTCTCTCGCCTATGCTCAGCTCCCAGATCCCTGCAGTACTCAGAAACCACACAACTCCCGAGAATGTGAAATGCCAAGATGGCAGGGAAGTCAGTACTGACAATTCCTGTGATGCTAACCTCTTATTGTGCTTTCAATCCTGTTACCTGAGCAATGTGTTGACACAGTTGATGTTTCATACACACATCACATTAACAAGTCTTATTTTCATAGTACCAGGGGCTGAAACTTGAGCCTCACATGTTAGGCAACTGTTCGACCCCTGAGTTACATCCCCAGCCCTTTCTAAGACAGGGTCTCACGAAGTTGTCCAGGCTGGCCTCAAACGTTCTACTTTCATGCTTCAGTCTCCCACGATGCTGGGATGACAGGTGTGTACCACCACGTATGGTAGGTAGTTTTTAAATCACCAAGTTATCATTGGAATTTTATGAAAAAAGGAAAGATCTGCACCCAGAGCCACCGCTGCAGCCCTACGCATCATCTGAAGTCACTAGCTTGATACCTAGAAAGAGGAATCTGCCACCTATAAAAGTGCTGTACCATACATTCGAAATTCAACTGTTTTTCTTCAGGAATTGACACTTACAAATAACATACTGGTTGAGAGCTTTGAACCTTTGCATAACTCTCCAGATATAAATTACTTTGCATGTAAAGAAAAGCAGCGGATCTTCAGTTAGAAACTGGGGGAGGGGTGGGATGGAGCTTTCCCCAAATAGCTGCTAGATCGCATTTAGAAGCAGCTGAAACAGATATGGTTCTTATTTACATGTTATACCTCATTAACTTTATCTCAAAATTGGTTCTTTCATTCAAGGTGTAGCTTATGTTCTGGAGTTGTCAAAACAACTTTGAGAGCCAGGCATGGTGGTGCATACCTGTAATCCCAGCTCCTGGGAGGCAGAGGCAGGACTGAGTTCAAGGCCAGCCTCAAATACACTGCAAGGCCTTTTCAAAACTAGCAAAAACGAAAACAAAGAGAAAAAAGCAAAAAGAACCACCTGTATTAAAACCATCTTATCTTCTTCCATAAGAGAGCTGATCAACTTGGCCAGAAAACAGCCACAGGGCTTCTGGAAGGTCATACCTGAGAACAGAGGGCAGCCAGTCAATGATCATACTGCTAAAGGAGACAACTCTAAGGCCCACTGTCCAGCTGCTGTTAGTGGTAATGCCACATGCTTTACGGATCTCACAGTCAATCTTCACAGCAGACCTTTGGGAAAACAGGTTTTACAGGGGGAGAGGGAAGCTCCCAGAGCTAACACAGCCTGCTCGAGATTCTAACTTGGATTCAAACCCAAGTTTTACTATGTCATACGGCCTTAGAGAATAAAGTAGCAATCAGACCAGTTTAGAAAGAAAAAGGAGAGCATTTTCACAAGGTATTACAACAACACAACTGTTCTATTAAAATATGGATGTATTTATTTTGTACAAAATGCAGTTAACACTTAACTCTGCTCTGTCCTGTGAGGCCAGCATCCCATAACCTCATGTTCACACAAACTTGCTTTCAGCAAGAGACAAGACAAGGAGAAAGAAAGTGCAATTCTGAAAAATGACACAGAACCAGAGCAGGAGTCAAAACCAGTAGGGGGAAGTGGGTTCCTTGGTTGGCACTATGCCTACAAGTCCTAGTACTGCTCATTTTCTCTCAACAGGAAGCATTTTTTTAAAGAACAAAAATTTCTGAGCAATACTGCCCAACTCTCTTGGTAGCGGCTTTCTTCCAGTCTCATCTGTCTTGAACTTCTCTAAGAAATGCCACCCTGGTATACATCTCTGTCAATTTGCCCATCTTCCTTTCAGCTTCAAAACACAAAAAACAGAAGAGCAGTGAGTTTCAGAGGGACGTCAACTGAGATCTTTTATAGATGGAACTTCCTTCCTAGGGGTTGCCTAGCCAAACACATGCATCGCCGGAGCAAAAGACCATGCAAACAGGTCCAACCAGAAATGTCTCAGGAGCTCATGAGATCGTTATTCTGCATCTGTAGATTTAAAGTGATCATCATCCACTGTAGAATAGATATGTCCCTCGTTGCTAAGAAAATCCACAGCTTGCCTAGAAAGACAGACAGAAAAAAAAAAAAGTTATTTTAAAACAACACAGAAGAAAGGGAGGAAACTGCCTTTTGGATACGGCCAAATATGCAAACTACTTCTGCACTGTTTTTTTTTTTTGGTACCGGGGATTGAACTCAGGATCTTGCACTTGCAAGGCAGGCGGCAGCACCACTGAACTAAATCCCCGGCGCTACTTCTGCACTTTTTAACCTTAGCTAAGAATTTATGGCCATTCTGCTCATCCAAAGCTGTGCCAGTGGAACTGCAAAACTGAGGTTACCCAAGCAGACAATGGGCTGCCGTGGATCTACCAAATTCAATTCCTGTGTAAAGGCAAGAAAACAGAGCCTCACATACAAGCAAGTGAAACAAGAATCTAAAGCTGTAGTCCAGCTTGTACATGAAATCTCTTAGTGTGCACAGCTATCTTTAAGTCTCCCCTTCCCACCTACGCACTGAGATCCTTTCTGCTCCACCCCTGGGCAGTAAGTAAAGGAAAAGTATCTCAGAAAGAATATGGCACCTTCAAACCCTCCAAGGTCCTCAGGGTCAGCATGTTTAATAACAGCCAGAACCCTACTACACGATCACAGCTCTGTACCTTAGCATCACAGTAACTCTGAGATAGGTATTATTATCTTCCTTTGTAGAACAGGAACTGGAAATAGCCTTAAGCATTTCTTTACTTGAAGGCCTAGAATGTCAATGGATTTACAATAACAACTATCATGACGACCATCGTACTTAAGTTTGTCTAATTGGTTTGTTCCACTGGAATCGAATCAGGCCAAGGATGTAAGGCTTTAGGTCCAGGGAGCCTGACACATGTCTATCTCTGGTGGAGAGAGTGACAGCAGTGGGACCATACACATGAGTACTGGGAGCTAGGGGTCGCATCCTCCAGACCAAAGGCCATGAGATATCAGGGCAATTTCTGTTGAGAATCACATAACGGGCCTGGGTATGTGGAATGAGCAAACAAGTGAGTGACGTAAGGCGCAGCACCATCTCTGTGTCCTTTTAAATGTTCCTGAACAACTTCACTTCCCTTTTGCCAACAGATCCAGCTTTCCTTTTAAACTTACTTTTTGTTATCAGGAAGCCCTAGAGGGGTGGACTGGTAGATACAATTGTGAAGACCTGGCTCGTGGAAAGAAAAACTTACTTGATTGAGGCTATCGGCATGTGCTGGAGTTGGTTTCTGAGATCCTGAAAGTTCAATCCTTCGGGCCTTGGACAGGCCTTAATCAAATTCAGCACCTGACAATTCAAATTAGAAAGACTACAGCAATTACTCTAATCAACTCCCCTTTGCAAATCTGAGTCCCTTTATAAGAAAAGAAAGGAGTCAGGCACTAAAGTAGTCTTACATCATTAAAGAAGTAAAAAAAAACAAAAAAACAAAACGTTAGGACTGCCTGTCTTCCGCAATTAAGGAGCCATTCAGTTTACCTGGTTTTGGGTCACAGTGAGGCCATTGGCTGGCATGAAGCTGTTCTCAATGAAGTTTCCTGGTTCACCCATTCCTGGGTTGCTGATAGATGCTCTTCCGGCTGAGGGCTGAATTAAGAAATAAGTTCAGCGGCTGGGGATTTAGCTCAGTGGTGCTGCCACCTGCCTCGAAAGTGCAAGGTCCCAAGTTCGATCCCCAGTACCAAACAATAACAACAACAAAAGATACAAGTTCATAACATTAGAAAATTCACCAACCTAAACATGATGCAGGCTGGCCTTTGCTATTTCAAATAACTTACTATGAATAAGCAACTAAGAAGTAAGTTAAGCAAAGAGTTTTCCTATTACAACTGCCTACATGGGAGAGGACAGCTACTATCTAATGAGAATTTCATCATAGTAAGGTAAAGTAACCCTGCCAGGCATATAATGTCAAAAAGAGGAAGAGCCAGGCATGATGGCATCTGTAATCCCAGCACCTGGGAGGCTGAAGCAAGAGGATCATGAGTCCAAGGCCAGCTTGGGCTCCATAACAAGACCCTGTTTCAAATAAATAAATAAATAAATAAATAAATAAATAAATAAATAAATAA